ACGTAGGATTATGTGTAGGTATAGGTTGGCATAAATAATATAAATAAATAAATAAATAAATAAATAAATAAATAAATAAATAAATAAATAAATAAGTAAATAAATAAATAAATAAATAAATAAAATAAATAAGTATAAATAGATACATATAAATACGTATAAATAGGTATAAATAAATACGTACATATAAATACGTACGTAAATACGTAAATACGTACAAGTATACGTACATACATAAATACATACATAAATACATACATAAATATATACATAAATATATACATAAATATATACATAAATATATACGTAAATATATACGTAAATATATATGTATATGTATATGTATATGCAGTATACGTAGGATTACCTGTAGGTATAGGTTGGCATGTTCCTCTTGTTGGTATAGAAGGAAGAGGAGGATATAAACCTGCACAAGATAATACAGGTAATTTATTTATTTATTTATTTATTTATTTATTTATTTATTTTATTTATTTATTTATTTTATTTATTTATTTATTTATTTATTTATTTATTTATTTATTTATTTATTTAAGTGGCTATTTAGGATATAAACCTGCACAACAACAAGATACAGGTAATTAATTAATTAATTAATTAATTAATTAATTAATTAATTAATTAATTTAATTAATTAATTAATTAATTAATTAATTAATAAAGGTTATTTATTTATTTATTTATTTATTTATTTATGCTCCTGTTTTTGCTGCTGTTGCTTTTCCTGTTCGTGCTGCTGTTGCTGCTGCTGTTACCCTTGCTCCTGTTGCTGCTGCTGTTGCTGCTGTTGCTGCTGCTGCTGCTGCTGCTGCTGCTGCTGCTGCTGCTGCTGCAGGAGAAGGAGGAGAAGGAGAAGGAGGAAAGAAGAAACAATTAACAATAAAAGAAAGAGAGAAATTAAAAAGAAAGAAAGGACAATCATCGCATGCAACATGGAAGCCAGAGACATGGATGCAATTAAGGCAACAATATGATTAAATTAATTAATTAATAAATAAATTAATAAATAAATAAATAAATATATATATATATATATATATATATATAAAGAATTATTTATTTTATTTATTTATCTATTTTATTTTCTGCGCAAAAAAGGAGGGGTTATATGCTATATTTATATATATATATACATATGTATATATATATATAAACCCTAAACCCTAAACCCTAAACCCTAATTTGTCTTTTTCTTCTCTTGGCTACTCACCAATACTAATTATAACATAATGTATATCTTTTTTCCTGCAATTGCTGCTGCTGCAGCAGCAGCAGCAGCAGCAAGTGCTGCAGCAGCAGCAAGTGCTGCAGCAGCAGCATCAACAACAAGGGCTGCAGCAGCAGCAGCAGGTTGCTGCTGCTAATCGTTGTTTATACATTTATTTTTGTAGCAAATAAATAAATATAAATAAACAATAAACAAACAACTTATTTATTTTTTGCTTTAGTGTTTATTTATTCATTTATTTATTTACTTTTTTTATTTTATTTATTTATTTATTTATTTATTTATTTATTTATTTATTATTTATATAGTGGTAATAAAGAATAGGAATATCTGCGGTGTATATGCAGCTCTACAGTATACTACCCGTTAAAAAAATAAATAAATAAATAATAAATAAAATATAAATAATAAATAAAATAAATATAATAAATAAAAATTTATTTAATATTAATAAGAAAGAAATTCTTTTTTCTTTTTTTTTTCTTCTTTTTTATTTAATAAATTGGGGTGTATATGCAGCTGTCGGCTGCGGCTCTGTTTATCTTCTAATAATAATAATAAATTTATTTATTTAATTTATTTATTTATTTAATTAATTTATTTTATTTTCTTCTTTAAATATATTAATTTATTCTTTTTATTCTCCTTTTTATTCTTTTTATTCTTCTTTTTATTTTATTTATTTCTTTTTTTCTTCTTTTTTTATACACCATAAGAGGTGTGCATGTTGTACCGATGGTCTATCTGTGTCGGCGGTCGTCAGCCGGGTGTTTTGCGTCCTTTTTTAGTTCTTTTTTTTGTTGTATTTATCTATAAAATATAAAATAAATAAAAATAAAAGGAATAAATTAAAAAAAGGATAAAAAAGACGTAAAAAAGGCAAAAAATACACAAAAAATAATTTGCATATATATTTACAGCTGCGGTGTATATGCAGCTCAAATAATTCATCGATAATATGCAGCACAGCAGGGCTGCAGCCATCAATCCTTTTTTTCTTTTTTTTCTTGTTTAATTCAATTTAAATTGTATTTTTATGCTTATTTTCTTCTTTTTTAGTTTATTTCCTTCAATTTAATAGGTTATTATCCCTTGATTCCCTCATTTAATCGCTGGTTTCCCTCTATTCATCTTCTTATGTATATAATACATAATATATATTACCCTCTTGTATATAAGGAGGAAAAAGACCTTCTTTTTCCCTCTTTTTCTCTTTTTTCTTCCTTTTTCTTCATTTATTTACTCCCCTTTCCCTTTTTATTGCCATTTAATCAATAAAAACGAACAAATGCAGAAACATTTCCTCCTGTTGTTGAGTCATTGAGGTGTATATGCAACTCGATACATTCATTCATTCATTGAATTCCTCCAATAAACATTTATTTATTTATTTATCTACTTATTTATTTGTTTACTAATTTATTTATATTTACTTATTTATTTATATTTGTTTATTTATTTATATTTATTTAAGTAAATAAATAAATTCTTTATGCCCTTCCTTCTAACATAATAGGTCTGCATGCAGCTGCAGATACACCCGAAGAAGAGCCATGGATACATTCTTCTTGCAGAGGAAGAAAAGAGGATTTGGGGTGTATACACACCTCCCCTTTAGTATCAGCAGCAGCAGCAACAGCAGCAGCAGCAGAAAGAGCAGCAGCAGCAGCAGCAAAAGAAAGTTCTCTTTCTTTACCCCTTAACATTATTATATATACACCATGAGCGAGCAGCAGCTGCTGCTGCAGCTGCAGCATCAGCAGCAGCTGCAACAATTGCAGAAGCAACTACAGCAGCACTTGCAGCTACAGAGGCAGCAGCAGCAGCAGCAGCAACTGCAGCAGCTGCAGCAGCAACAAAATGTTTTCTTTCCTATTAATCCCCAAGGAAGTTTGCTGCACACACAACAAACACATCCTTCTCTTATTCAGGTTCGTTAGCTTGCTGCTGTTGCTGCTGCTGTTGCTGCTGTTGCTGCTGTTGCTGCTGTTGCTGCTGTTGCTGCTGTTGTTGTTGCTGCTGCTGCTGCTTCTGCTGTTGCCGTTGTTGCTGCTGTTGCCGTTGTTTCTGCTGTTGCTTCTGCTTCTGCTGCTGCTGCTCTTGCTGCTGCTTCTGATGCTCTTGCTCCTATTGCTGCTGCTACTGTGTCTTATTTATTTATTTATTTATTTATTTATTTATTTATTTATTTATTTATTTATTAATAGAGGTATTATACACTAAGAAGTTCTCTTTCTGCTTATGAAGATGTACTAAGAATTTTACCAACAAAGACACGTCTGCTGCACCAACTGCAGCAGCAGCAGCAGCAGCAGCAGCAGCAGCAGCAGCAACAGCATCAGCAGCAGCAGCAGCAGCACAAGCAGCAGAAGCGGATACCTGCTGCTGCTGCTGCTGCTGCTGCTGTTTTGTTTCCTGTTATACAACCCCTTAATCGATGCACAACTTCTCCATGTAAAAACTTCTTAGCCCAACAGCAGCAGCAGCAGCAACAGCAGCAGCAGCAGCAGCAGCAGCAGCAGCAGAAACAGAAGCTGCTGGAGGAGATTAAAGGAAGAGGAAGGATAAGGGAAGACAGCAGCAGAAGAAGGAGGGAAGAAAAAGAAAATACACGGCTGCTGCTGCAGCACAAGCAGCAACAACAGCAACTGCTGCAGCACAAACAGCAGCAGCAGCAGCAGCAGGTATGTGAAACTCACCTAGCTGTTGCAGCAGCAGCTCTGCAGCAGCAGCAGCAGCACCAGCAGCAGCAGCACCAGCAGCAACGCCTTTATTTGTTGGATTGCATGCGTCTATCTTTGTGTGTCTTGCAGCATAAAGAAGAGAAAACAGCAGCAGCAGCAGCACCAGCAGCAGCAGCAGCAGCAGCACCATCTGCAGCAGCACCATCTGCAGGAGCACCAGCTGCAGCAGCACCAGCAGCAGCAGCAGCAACAGCAGCACCAGCAACAGCAGCACCAGCAACAGCAGCAGCAGCAACAGCAGCAGCAGCAGCAGCAACACGAACCAACCTCATAGAAGATGCCGGGCTGAAGCACTTACAGAAGCAACAGCAGCAACAGCAGCAACAGCAGCAACAGCAGCAACAGCAGCAAGACAAGCAGCAAGTCCTGCAGCAAAAGCAGCAAGACCTACAGCAACAGAAGCAGCAGGAGAAGCAGCAGGAGAAGCAACAGCAGACGCAGCAGGAGCAGCAGCAGAACAAAGAGCAGCAGCAGGAGCAGCAGCAGGGAGAGCAGCAGCAGCAGCAGCAGCAGCAGCAGCAGATATTAGAGGGACGTTTGTATCGCTTATGTTGCATGCAAAGGATGGCGATGTTTGCTGCTGCTCCTTCGGGTGTATCTGCAGCTCTTGCTGCTGCTGCTGCTGCTGTTCTTCTTCTCTTACATACAAAAGGAAATAAATATATGCATATTATTCATCAATACAGCAGCAGCAGCAGCAGCAGCAGCAGCAAAGACAGCAAACCCTCAACACTGCTGCAGCCAAGGTTAGTACTGTCCCTTCCTCCTTAGCTAGCTAGCTAGCTAGCTAGCTAGTTGGCTAGCTAGCTAGCTGCATAGTTAGTTACCTAGCTAGCTAGCTAGCTAGGTATGAGGGGTGGCGGGTTAAGTAGGGAAGCAGGTGTAGCAGCAGCAGCAGCAGAAGCAGCAGCAGCAGCAGCAGCAGCACGATTAACAGCAGCAGCTGCAGCAGTAGCAAAGTTTTGGGGCTGCATGCGCATGCATTTGTTTTTCTCTGCAGCAAAGAAATGAATAAAGTACAACTCTTCCTTCAGGTACTTCTGCTGCTGCTGCTGCTGTTGCTGCTGCTGCTGCTGCTGCTGATGCTGCTGATGCTGCTGCTGTTGCTGCTGCTGCTGCAGTTACTGCTGCTGATGCTGCTGCTGCTGATGCTGCTTCTGCTGATTCTAGTGTTGCTGCTATTGTTCTTACTATTGCTGCTGCTGTTTCTGTTGCTGCTGCGGCGGCTGCTGTCTTTATATTTATTTATTTATTTATTTATTTATTTATTTATTTATTTATTTATTTATTTTTCTTCTTTTTTTTTATGTATAGACCTTTGCTGCATCAATAATCCAACGAGCAGCAAGAGGGTTTTTAGTACGAAGAACATTCTCTATAAGAGTAGGGTTTAGGGTTTAGGGTTTAGGGTTTAGGGTTTAGGGTTTAGGGTTTAGGGTTTACGCGCCTTTTTTGAGAAGTACCCATTGGTACATAGCTAGCCAACTAACTAACTAACAATCTCCCTAGCTAGCTAGCTAGCTAGCTAGCTAAGTAACTCGGTAACTAGCTAGCTAGCTAGCTAAGTAACTAGCTAGCTAGCTAGCTAGCTAGCTAGCTATTTATTGCTGCATGCATTATGTATATATGTGTGTGTTTATCTAAGGGCATAAAATATTCTTCTATAAGAAAAGAAAAGAAAGAAAAGTCTGCTGCTGCTGCTGCTGCTGCTGCTGCTGCACCAGCAGCAGCAACAGCAGCAGCAGCAGTAAATAATTTATCTGCTGCTGCTAACTTGGAGTTGGTTATAGATGTACGAACAGAGGAAAACAGAGGAAAACAGAGCTTATTTTATTTATTTATTTATTTATTTATTTATTTATTTATTTATTTATTTATTTATTTATTTATTTGTGCATGCAGCTAAAGTTACAATCCTTATTATCTCCTATACAATCTGCTGCTGCTGCTTTGCTGCTGCAGCAGCAAATCTTGCTGCTGTGTCAGCAACTGCAGCAAGTCCTACAGGCCCCCTATGATGTACATCTCCTGTTGCTGCTGTTGCTGCTGCTGCTGCTGTTGCTGCTGCTGCTGCTGTTGCTCTTGCTGCTGCTGTTGCTGCTGCTGTTCTTGTTGCTGCTGTTGCTGCTGCTGTTCTTGTTGCTGCTATTGTTCTTGTTGCTGCTCATGCTGTGTTATCGCTGCTGCTGCTGCTGCTGCTGCTGCTGCAGTCTTTCGAGCAGACAGCAGGAACAGCAGCAGCAACAGCAACAACAGCAGATATGCATATTTATTTATTTATATAAATAAACAAATAAATATATGTATATGTATATTTATATATATGTATATGGTGTTTGCTGCTGCAGCAAGGTAAAGGCAGGGCTGCTCAGCCCCTTGGTTGGTCTGCACCTCTAGCAGCAGCAGCAGCAGAAGCAGCAGCAGCAGAAGCAGCAGCAGCAGCAGCAGCACCAGCAGCAGCAGCAGCAGTTCTTCCTGCTGCAGCAGAGGCAGCACCAGCAGATATAATTGCATTTAAGGCAGCAGCTGCTGCTGTTAGGTCATTGGGGCCCCACAGCGTGCATGCAGGGGCCCCCATCAAGGAAGTGCAGCAAAAGAGAGTGGCGCCCCCAACAAGCATCAGCAGCAGCAGCAGTAGCCACCGCAGCAGCAGCAGTAGCAGTAGCAGCAGCAGCAGCAGTGGCCGCGAGCATAAGCGCAGCAGGAGGCGTACTCATGCTCACAGCCGCAGCAGGCCTAGAAGCAGCACAAGCAGCAGCAGCAGCAGCAGCAGCAGCAGCAGCAGCAAGGAAAGCACACCGGAAGCTGTTGTCCCGTCAATAAGAAAAACTTATGAAGAGGGGGGCCCCACAGGGGCCCCACACGAAGAAGAGAGGGGCCCCCAGTACCATTTAAGGGGGCCCCCTTCTTCTTCTTTGTTGTTAAGGAGAGAGGAGACAGTTGATAAGTCCCCCGTGTCTGTCCCTTCTGCCTCCCCAGCAGCAGAAGCAGCAGCAGCAGCAGCAGCAGCTGGAGATGCAAGCAGCAAACAAGTGCTACACGGTGATGAATTAAAAGTTATTCCCTTAGAGCAGCAGCAACAGCAGCAGCAGAAAAAGGAGCAGCAGCAACAGCAGCAGCAGCAAAAAGAGCAGCTAGTAAGAGAGCAGCAGCAAAAAGAGCAGCAGCAACAGCCGGAACAGCTACAGCAGCTACAGCAGCAGAAGCAGCAACAGCAGCAGGAGGAGAAGCACCTGCAGCAGGAGGAGAAGCACCTGCAGCAGAAGGAAGAGCACCTGCAGCAGCAGCAACAGCAACAGCAACAGCAGCAGCAGCAGGAAGATGATTTGCTTCCTGTGTCTCCTCGTACAGAGAGAGGTGAGGATACACCCGAAAGGAGACAGAAGCGCAGCAGCCCTTTATGTATGCAGCAGCAGCAGCAGCAGCAATGGTACTTGCTGCTGCAGCAAAAAGAAAAAGAATTAAGGGAAAGAAGAATTATACAAAGAATTAAGTCTCCTTCCCCTA